GAGATGGGGTGCTCTTCACTCCTTCCCCAGGGAAGTCAAACAAAACCTGCTCCTTTCTCTTCCACATCAGCAGAATTTGTCTGAAGATCCTTTTCCTTCTATCCTGCAGTACCAGACGAGTAAGGAGGCTTGAGTCAAATCCCACAAAGTGACCGTAGACAGAGGGATTGTCAAACTGTTCCCTGGATAAATAAAGGGTTGGATCATTCTCGATTCAAAGTCCTTGCAGAGAAGTATAATAAATATAGGGTAAATAAAATTGCTTTCTGCACCGTCCCTGGATTAAATGTAATGGGAGTGCAGGGAGGAATTGCCCCATCATTCAGTTGCTAAAAAGCTGTTTATAAATGATTTGATATAAACCTATTTAAATATCTCATTTAAACAACAATTTCCATCTTAATCTTCCTCAACCAATTGATCCTGTATGTTTAATTAAGCTTCTTCTTTTTCCCCTACTTCTGCTTAATGAACTCTTTGGAACGAACTCTGGCGTAATGAGTTGAATCTCTTGGCTTCATAATGAAGGCGCTACTTCTGATGGACTTTGACCAGCCTTAAATAACTGTTCATAATTTGATTGCTGGCTGATGTATTCAAAATTGCTCTCCCTAACAGCTGGCCAATCTCAGAGTCCTTAAAGACTTTAGGTCTGTCTTGCGGAGGAGTTTAGTTTATGGAAATCAAGCCAGATTGCTGGTGCAAATGACACATTGCTGCCCCTTCCCTCTTTCTGCCAGTGGAAATAGCCAAACAGACCAGGAACCTTCAGCATTCAGTCTAAACCAGGATCCCTGATATGTCGCTCCTGCCAAAAATCCAAAGCTGAGGCTTTATTTTTGCTTCCAATTCCTGCCTTGGGTAAGATTGACAACACAGAAATCCTGGGTCAGTTTTAATGCTAAACAAACTAACACTCGTGTTCACTTATTTCGTTGACCTCCTGCATCACTGCTTATTGAAAGCAGGGATTTCAGATGCTTCCACCAGCAGAAACCAAACAGAATCCATTTGCAGTCCTAAAGAATCAGCTAGAATTTTCAGCTGCCAGGCATATTGCTGGATGTGAGCAGAGCAATTACTCAATTCTTTAGCATTGATTCATTTTGTTTATTTTACGGTATTTATAACCCTTCCCAGTCCCAAAGGACTTTGGGCAATATATAACATTGACAGAAATTCTCCCCCCAATAAATAAACCAGATCAAAAACAATCACAAACAGCAACATTAACCTCAAAGAAAACCTGGACTAGGCAACCAAAATCACATTGAAATAATACAGTTTTAACTTGTTTATGGAACTGCATCAAGATGGGGGCTGCATGTACTTCTGGGGGGAGAGTATTGCATAAGGTGGGGGCTATTACAGGAAAGGTTAAGAAGATGTATAAACAGCATCTATACCCAGCAATTATGGCTGCTCTTTTAGAGGAGGGCCTTAGTGGGGAGTATTTTGGGGACTGCTCATTAGACCTTGGAAGCCAGCTGTTGGGGTGGGGCATGAGGGAGAATCTCTGCTGAAGATAGATCAGAAAATCCTTGATGTGAAGGATTAAGAGTCCTTCACTTCAATCTCCTCCATAGATGTGGCTTTGTGGGGCAGACCAGATAAGAAACATGACCAGATGAGCTAATTCTACTTTACTGAAAGCTGCATTGATAGAATCTTGCAAGTCTGAAAATACATTTCTCCCCCTGTCTCCTTTACAGCTGAAGAAACTAGGGTCAGAAGGGAGGGTCTCTTCTGAACCTCTTGTCCCGCCCACTATCCAGCTATGGGCTATGCTGTCTCTTATCTGACCATTCCCTTGGCAACATCTGGGCAAAGTCTCCCAAAGTGTTTCCCACATACCATTATAGTAGAAGAGTACAGAGGTAAACTTGAGGAAGGAATACAAGTACAGTTAAATAAACATCAATTCAGCCCTGGGAAGAAGAAAGGGTAAGAAAGAAACTCAAGATTGCCTTGCCTTGATTCTCTTTGGTATAAGAGTGTTTTTCAAACTTGGCAACTTTAAGATGTGTGGACCAACTCCCAGAATTCCCCAGCCAGCATGCTTTAAGATGTGTGGACTGTCCACACATCTTAAAGTTGCCAAGTTTGAAAAACACTCTTATACCAAAGAGA